TTAGCTAGACTCACTCACTAGCTGGGTGACTCACCCAAGCACCCAGCCTAGGCCACTGGTGCTCAGAAGTACATCTGATTACGAGGCACATCTCCGGGGCACGTGTCCACTAGCTGACACTGCAAAGTCAAACTCACCAATGCCAGGAGTCCATGGTATAAGGCATGAGACCCCAAGGGGTGTTCGACCTGACAGAAAAGTGTGCACATTCACTATGTTTTTGTAAAAGAAACAAAGTTTCATCAGCAGATGTTTCTCCAGTTAGACTTGCTAGCAGAGAGGGCTTCAATGCAGGAGACCGAGGAGCTGGGTGTGCTGGAGGGAAGCCCGGGTCTAACAGGCAGCGCTCACAACTGCCGGGCCCTGGAGGAACGCCACAGCCCGCCCTGGCCCTTAAAATACCTCCATTGCAGGAAAAACATTCCTCGATACTTATTCACTTTTCAAAGCAAAAAGTGATAAACACAGGATAAGGACAGCTCAAGAACGCTATACGAAGACTACCTACAAGTCCCCTTTTCAACAGTTCTTGTCCCGTGACCACAGCTGAATGTGTGCCTGGCCATTTAGCCTGATAAACAGTAAACTCCTTGAACGGAGTCAAGTCAACAGAATCATTCTGGTGTCGCAAGTATAATGCATGGCTCATAGCTGATGATCAGCCTTCCTTAGCTGCATTTAACCAGCCTGAACTCAGACCTGGAGAGGCATGTTGAGAGGACACAGGGGCCTTTCAGGTTAACTGTCCCCTGACAGCAGAGGAAACCCTCAGGGGCACAGCTGCCGCTGCAGCAAGTCTCTCTCTGTGACTCAGAAGGGCTGTTGGCTGGACGTGGACCAGAGACGGCATTAGTTCGTTACATTAGGCTTTTGATTATAAAGAACCTGTTGAAATTGGAGCAAAACACGCACTTACTAAAGGTCATCAGCTCTCACAAGGAAATAGCTTTGTGCTGCACAGTTAGTCACCATAATGCGAGGTGTCAGAAAGGGATTTTACTTGTATACATTCCCAGCTCTAGATCCATCATTACCAAGAAGCCTGGGTGGTGCTGTCTAAGCAAAGAAAAGGGAATTGTACAGTCAGACCTCTCTATCAAACCCCGCTGAGCCAGTCCTAGCAGGTCTCAGCTCTGAAGCAGGGCAATTCACTGATGCCTCTGGCCATGGTGGGAGCCCGGTGTTCTGGTTACGAGAGCCCCTGGCCCCAGGTCAATTCTCAGGAAGCCTCTTGGTTGTTGTGACCCTCATGAATAATTCTTACTTTTCTTTTTGTCCTTATTGAACGTACAACAGGTTAGACCATTACTAACATACCATTTGAAAAGGTGTGTTCAATGTCGAAAATTTGAAAACACAGCAAAAGGACACTAAAAATAGCCTCTAACATCCACTGCCAGACCCTCCCACCCACTAAAGAATGACCCTGTTAATGCTTTTATTTTTAAATAAGAAAGCGGTTGAAGGCAGGGGGACTCACCTAAAGTTATTGCAGCCGAGAACGACTCCAACGATATTCTTGCCGATGTCATGCACGTCGCCTTTCACGGTGGCCAACACGATGGTGCCTTGGTAAGGATCCTGGAGAGCAAGACAAGTAGCTAAACGTGGCTGTGGTCATTTCAGAGCAGACCACCTAGTTCTCTAGCGCCTGACCAGTGCTGGCATTTTTAAATCCTCACCCGAGGGCATGCTCAGAGAGCGGAAGGGGGAGAGAGAGAGAAACATCTACATGAGAGAGAAACAACGGAGAGAAACAATGATTGGTTGCTCTCTGTATGCTCCCCAAATGGGGACCAAACCCGCAACCCGGGTACGTGCCCTTGACCAGAAATGAAACCGGCGACCTTTTGGTGCATGGGACGCTCCCACCAACTCTGGCCTGTCCACGGCAGAGATCATTTCCCTACTTCACCTCAATGACAAGCACAGCCAAGCCCCATAGTCCCTACTCCACTCCGGTAAATCTTCGAGGAGTTCCTCGCAGGGACCACAGGCCGCGACAAACGACTTGCCTCTTCTTCGACTGAGCCAGTAAGCACTTGAGCTTCTTTTCTTTCTTTTTCCATGAAGGGAATAAGGTGGCCAACAGCCTTCTTCATGACCCGAGCTGACTTTATCACCTGGGAAAAACACACAGAGCCAGACATCTTTATGGAACCACCTCAGTGGTTGCTCTTGGCCACTTGTGAAATGTTACATGAAGTGAGGGTGCATGCTGTGACCTCAGCTCAGCCACACAGGAGCTTTCTGTAGGCCCCAAACCCAGACAGCTGAACAACTAGTTGTTTACTGCTGTGGTTAGTAGCGGCTGAGAGTTCCGGTTTTGCTCCAAACATATTTAATGTACGTCACTATTTAAAATGGTAATAACTTTTACAAAACATGCAGCATAAAAGGTGAATTTCGGTTAGTCAAATAAATTGGTACTATTATTAACTTTACATTCATCTTGGGTTTTATTTTAATGTGGGGGGAGGTAGAGGTTGTTGGGGGTAAGAAGTGGTACAGAAGATCACACATGAAGATTAGAAGCTAATTATTGGCAGATGACCTCTAACCTCCATACCACCCTAACGATGAATTTTTGTTGACATTCCCCCTAAATACATTTAGTGAAACAAATGGCCAGATCTCAGTGCCCCTGAGCTCTTGTCAAAATTAAAATAGACGCAAACACATTTATTAAAAGACAAAGATGTTTTCTTTCAATTGTGAAAATGTCCCCCCATCTTTTGCCAACCTGAGGCAGAAACATTTTTCCGGCTCCAAAAAGATCACCAACAACTTTCATGCCGTTCATCAAAGGCCCTTCAATTATATGCAGAGCGCGGGGGTATTTGTCCTGGTTTAACCTGGCTTCCTCGGTATCCTCAATAATATGTTGCAAACACAAAGACGTTTTCTTTCAATTGTGAAAATGTCCCCCCATCTTTTGCCAACCTGAGGCAGAAACATTTTTCCGGCTCCAAAAAGATCACCAACAACTTTCATGCCGTTCATCAAAGGCCCTTCAATTATATGCAGAGCGCGGGGGTATTTGTCCTGGTTTAACCTGGCTTCCTCGGTATCCTCAATAATATGTTTTTCAATGCCCTGCAAAAAATAAATAAATAAATAAATAAATAAGGGAAAAATCACACAAAACAGTGGCTTAAATATAAACAGCCAACAACAAATGATTTGAATCATGGAAATGCTTAGAGTACAGGTTTTGCAAATCCTGGCTCCTATCGCCAATCCAGGGGCTTCATTAAGCTTCAGTTTCCTAAGTCACAGGATCACATAGTACCTGCCTCACATGGTTACGCCAAGGATTAAATGAGACGCCTACACAGAGTGATGAAGGGCTTTTTTGACACTAAGTACTCAGGAAAGCGAGCTGTGAGTGAGAGAAGGAGCATTAATAAGTAAAGTTCAAATTAATAATAAAATACACTTTTTATTGTCGTGGTTTAACAGATTACACATTAATGAATAGCTCCTGTGAAATCCGCACTTCTCTCTGCAACATTAGGGGCTGGGTAGGAAAGACAAGGGGCAGGACCTGTAGGCAAAGGTCAGAGCCAGGGAGCCTCTGCTGACTTGTCCAGCCTCCAGTGATCGAGCCCCATCCTCCAGCCCCGCCAGCTCAGAGATCCTTGGCTGTGGCTCGCTAGTTCCACAACCTGAAACATGTGAATCTGAAGTTCAAAGTTAAATGCTAGCGTCCCCCCAAAACAGAACTCTGAAATTCTCCAGACTCACAAATGAGGAAATTAAAGCCCAGAGATTGAGAATCTTGCCTGATATTACAATTACCAGCAGAAGAGCCAGGACTTGCTTTCTGATGGAATGACAGCAACTTGGTCTAGGATAGCGTTTCTCAAGTGTGGCAGTGCTGATATTTGGGGCTGAATAATTCTTTGTCATGCAGGCCTGTGCACTGTAGGATGTTCAGCAGTATCCCTAGCCACTGGATCCAGTAATACCTCCCACCCCAGTTGTGACACCCAAAAATGTCTCTGGACACTGCCAAGTGGGCCTGAGGGGGCGGGGGTTGGGAAGGGGTGTGGGGAGCCCCACCCTTACATCTCAGGCAGGATGAGGGGCCTCGGCCCTGGAGCTCCCCCTTGCGCAGCGCCCCACAGCTCACCTTCACAAGGGCATACTCCAGGCGCTCTTCCACGGGGCCACTCCTCCACTCATCGGTCTGCACGACCTTCTTCCCTCCTTTGCCATGAGTCTTAACGGAAATGAGGACAGAGAGATGGATACAACAGGTCCTTACTGAACTATTTGGCAGCAAAAAACTATGTCTTATCCTTCTTTTATGCTAAATAGGTTACCAAACAAGCATGTAGAGATAGCTTGTTTTATAAATTTTCTAGAATTGCGTTACTTTGGTATGAGAAAAATTAATTTCACGTTTTAAAATAAATGGAAACAAACATCAGAATACTGAACAGCGTACATGTGGCCTATTTCTCTCCCCTCGCCTCACCACAACGCCTTCTCTGGAGCGCCCTATACAAATCTTCCACGATCCAAAGCCGTGACTAGATCCTTGCTCCTATTACAAGGAGGGTCTCATAACCAGGCCTGAGCCATCAATTCAGACAGGAAAGTCGCCGTCAGACGCGCTCTTCCTACCTGGGCGTAACGCAGGAGCTTCTCGGTGGCCTCGGGGTCCTTGTTCCAGATGAGGTCCTCGCAGAGCTGGAGGAGATCCTTGTGGATGTCGTCGTACACGGGGAGGTTCCCTGCATTCACGATCGCCATGTCCATACCAAACTGGGGGCAACACAGACAACAGTGAGCATTTCCAGGGACACCCTCCACCGGGGTCAGCACACTTTTTCTAAAGGGCCTGAAAGAAAATGTTTTAGGCCATGTCTCTGTCGCCAGGGCTCAGCCCTGCTGCTGTAGCACAGAAACACACAGACTACGCATAAGGGAGCAGCTGCGGCTTTGCTCCACCAAGACTGGACTCTCAGAAACGAGCAGCAGGCTCAGATGGCCTGCGGATTTGCAAGCCCCTGGCCTGGGTAAAGCTGGCTGCGGAGGAAGCAGGCGCCCTCCCTACCTTGATGGCGTGGTACAGGAAAACCCCGTGCATGGCTTCTCGGATGGCGTCCATTCCTCGGAAGGAGAAGGACAGGTTGGAAAGACCGCCACTGATTTTGGCTCCAGGTAACGTTTGCTAGAAAAAATAAAAAAGGGAAAAGATTCCCCCATTTTGCCAAAAGCATCAATGACATCCCTTAATCTTTACATAAAAGAGTGGAGAGTTAAAAAAGCACATCAAGCTCAAGGTTGCCATCACACCTTATAACAAGGCCGGGCATCTACGTGGAACTGCTGGCTGAAGCACAGACCAGCTCAAGCATGTGGAGAGTAAAAAAAGCACATCACGTTCAAGGCCAGGCATCTATGTGGAACTGCTGGCTGAAGCACAGACCAGCTCAAGCATTTAGGGAGACAGCTTCCACTGTCTGCTCCGACCAACCCTCCGCTTCCCACATACACTGCAGACACACGCATGCACGTGTGCCCAAGACACACACAGGGATGTTCACACAGCATCGAGCGCAATGTCCCAAAAACAGAACAAACCAACTGTCTGTCAACAACAAAACAGTTAACTATGGAACAGTTACACCATGGAATATTATATATTAATACAAATGAACAAAGTACAGCTATTACTACACAGGTGAATCTTTAAAAGAAAGTTGGGTGAGGAAAAAGGCATAAGAATCTTAGATTCTATTTCTATTAAGCTCAGAAACAGGAATAACTAAACTACAACTCTTTATACAGTGGATTCTCATTATTTGTGGTGATTCTGTTCTACTAGACACCACAAATACTGAATCAGGAAACACTGAAAAGCCTTGCTTGTTCTACTCACGACCTGAATGAGAGCTACTGTATGCCTTAGAATTAATTATTATACCCTATTTTTATATATTCTGCAGTATGTGTTACGCTTCAGTTCAAAATAACATAAAAGAAAAATAATAAAGGGCCCTAAATTTCAGAAAACCAATTTACTACCTAAGAGCAAGAATGTCGACATTCCCAGCCAATAAATACATATTCATGACGTTCAAACGACTCACTGGAGCCACGTGGTAGATGTGAGCAATGTCCTGTGCAGAGAGAAATCACCCAGACTCACTTTAATGACTTTGGTTGCATGGATAAAATTAACAGCATACAAGCTGTGTTCTTCCATCCCAGTCCCGATGGTGAGGATGTTAGGGTCAAATATGATGTCATTTGGATTAAAGCCCAGTTTTCCCACAAGTAGATGGTAGGCCCGGGTGCACACTTGGATTTTGGTGTCTGTTTCTGTTGCCTGGAAAAAGGAGCAAGAGATTGTCATTTAAACAGAAAATGCCAAGCAGCCTCTAATCATTCCTCAAATTATCTCCGAGGGGGAACTGGTTTAAAGACTCCTCTCTGCTGTGACTCCTGTGAGACAACCAACACCCAGGCCAGGGGGCTGGGGACCAAGAGCAGCTCATGTTCTGCATGTCCCTGCCATAAACTGCCAGTTCTGGGGGGAATCTGGATAAGTCTGTTTCTTACGCACAGAGAATTTAAAATAGAACCCATCTGATAAGGAACGCCCAAGAATAGGAACACTCAGTCATGTCATCTTAGCCAGGAGTGGTGGCCTCCCTGCAGCCACTACAAAATGTCAGACTTTCACTAGGTTCAGAAAGGGTCAGAGGAGGAAATGTGAGGATCAACTCCTAGGCTCAGGGCAATTGCCTTCAGCAAAGCAAAACCAAACGGAAAACTAAGAACTACTGTCTCCAGTGTCCTGGGACTACTTATAATATTATGGTGCATACCCTAGGAAATCCCAACATGTTCAACTGGAAAACAGGATCAATTTATCCAAATTGAATGAAAAGGCTGGTTATGAAATGAAAATCTAAAAAAACCACTGCTGAAGGAAAATATATTTGAACGGAAGCATAAGCCAGTCACAACAGCAAAACAATCCAAAATACCTAGGATCTTGAGCTTTCCTATTTAAGGAAAACTATAAACCTTATTGATTAGTAATTGGAAAGACATACGTTTCCTGAATTACAAATCTAAATAGTGGCAAGACACCAATTCTTCATTATTTTAAAGGTTAGGATTAATTAAATTTTAATCAATATCCCAATGGGGCTTTATTTCTCCATAAACTGGAAAATGGTTTTCAAATAAATTTAACATAGGAAAATGTATTGAATATAATGGATGCATTATAGAATGATAATGGTTATCCTTTTATGTAACCTACACATATACAAACAAAACATAATATAGTCTATTCTGCTATTATGTGATAATTTTATTTCTAGGAACCTTATCACAAACTGTCATATGAGGCCTGGCAGGTGTGGCCTAGCTGGTCGAAGTGTGGTCCAGTGCACTGAAAGTTTGCAGGTTTGATTCCTGGTCAGGGCACATGCCTAGGTTGCAGGTTCCATCCATGGTCAGGGTGTGGATAAGACAACAGATCAATGTTTCTCTCTCACATCTATCTCTCTTTCTCTCTCTCTCTCTCTCTCTCTTTCCACCCTCTCCCTTCCCTCTCTAAAATCAATAAGCATGTCTGAGGATTTAAAAAAACATTGTCATATGAAAATAATCACTTCAATTAGTAAAGGAAAATTGAATCAAGAGACTGAGTAGTGATAAAGTTATTCTTCCCACAGAAATTTCAACAATAAAGGTGTTCTTCTGTATTTTGTTATTTAGTGTTAAAATGAACAGTTGATCAAAATAACATCAACCAGAAACATGGAGATTCTTCCATTTTGCTTTAATCCAGCCCCTCTGTTGTATCTGGCCTTGACCTTGCAGTTTGGTCTGTAACATGCATCACAAATATAAACCAGAGACCACAGCAGATGCAGAAACAGAGGCAGGTGAGACGCTCTGCTTCGCTTAGTTGCAACAGTGGCTCTCAATTCAAAGGCTGCTTTCTCCCCACCACAGAGGCATCATCCAAGCAGGCGAATCACCAGGAGACCTCCATCAACTGAGGCAGGCCTTTATCCCAAAATATCCCTGTTGTTGGTTTCTGAACTTTGCGGGTAAATGAATTTTTTGCTTTGGTCTTTATAACTTTCAAAACCACAATTCTATAATTAGCATCTATGTTTAATTATGCTAAAATCAGAGGCATAACGGGCAAGTGAACATGTCCTACCTTCTTATTTGTGGTCACATTCGACCTAAATGGGAAAGCTTGTTTTCAGGCCCGATGCAGCACCGGCCGCGCTGACAAAGCACGGGATAACCCAGGACGTGGAGACCTACCTCAGTCTCCTCCGAGACACTTGACCTTGAACCACAGTGAACAGGACAACAGCTACCCCAGCTGGTGGCTCTGAGGACTAACTGAGATCAACTGCTAATTCCAAGGTATTAGAATTACTAAAGCCCAGACTCCATACCGAAGGAGCTAAAAAGTCAGAAAATGGAGCCAGAGGGTGTGCGTGTTTTTAAAAGTACAAGCACCTTTCCCTGTGGGAGAGTTTCTGCTTTACACTCAGGTTAAGCAGGCAGCTCCTCTTAGGGAGCACACGGCATTCCAGTCTCCTTCAGCGCGACCTCGCTTCCTACGGCACCGAGGAAACACCAGTCAGACGACCGGCTCCCTGCCTGCCTGCCATCTGTGCTCTCACACCCTGCCTGCCGCCTCCCTGCCTTCCCTCCAGACTGCGAGCAACCTGTCTCCTCTCCATGCGAAGACTGATGGCAACCCTCGACTCACAAGGGCAGGGACCTAGCAAATGCCCCCTTTTCTCTATCAGATCAGTCCCATCAGCTTACAAAACCATCTTGTCACACGTCTGTCTTCACACACACACACACACACACACACACACACACACACACCCTGTTAACCTCATGTCCCTCTCTGGTGTCACCCAATTTCCTCTTCCCCTTATAGCAAAACTCCTCAGAAAAGCCATTCACACCTACTGGCTCCAATTCTCCTATCCTCTCTTGAACCCCCTCCAATTAGGCTTTTATCTCCTTGGAAACAGAACAGCAAGATCCTTCACTCCCCGCTTTCTAAACTCAGTGGTAAATTCTTGGTCTCATCTACTAGATCTGCCCACAACTCTCTAAAATAGCTCATCGAACCCTTCTGGAAGCTTGTTCTTCACTTAGAAGCCAAGAGAAGCCTCCCTTCTGGTCCCCCTCCCACCAAACAGGCTGCTCCTCCCAACCCCCACAATGGGGCCTCCTTCTCTCTCTGGCCTTGGAGCGCAGTGGCTCCCAGACTTCCTCCTGAGTCCCCCCCCCCCCCCCCCGCCCCCCCCACTACAGCCACTGAGCTCATCACCGTGGTCTAAATACCATCTGCTTACAGGTAATTCCCCAGTAAGGAAACCCTGTCTTCTAGCCAGGCTTGGCCCATGAAACTCAGAATCACCTGCACAGCTAGCTGTGCAGCCCACATGCCCCATAAACATGGCCCGTCCTTCCTACCCACGCCTGCTTCTCAGCCTTCCTCCTGGCAACTGCCCTGGGCAAAGACCCCTGACTCTTCCTCCTTTCACAGCCCACAACCCACGGCAAATCCCACTGGCTCTACCTTAAAAATACATCTAGGAACAGATGAGCAGAGCAAATGCCAGAATTGGAAAATAGGAGGATAAATTAAAAAAATAGGCAAAACATCTAATATCTGCATAGTATGCATGCCACAGAGAGGATAACACAATTCAAGGGGATTCCTACAGAGGGCTGGCTGAGTGCTCAACATAAAGGACGGCTCATCGCCAGAAGACTTCAGAGCACCACGGACAGAGGAGACCCAAGGAGGAACCAGGAAAGGGGAGATCGAACCCACAGCTTTGGTGTATCAGGACGACACGCTCGCCAACTGAGCGACCCCGCCAAAGCTATTCATTATTCTATTACGTTGATTGGGGGGCGTTTATTTTATGACTTATAGAAACTCTTTACATATTAGGGACATTAACCCACTGCTATTACTCCCGTTGCAAACAGTGCCATGCCTTTCGCCATACAAAGTTTACATTTTTACAGACAGCTCTACCCATTTTCTTTCTGCCTTCCTGAGTTTAGATGAATACTTTCCCATACATTCTTTAGAACTTTGTTTTTTACATTTAGATCTTTAATTGATAAAGACTTTATTTTAGTATATGGGGGGAAATGGGGCTCTAACTTTATTTTCTTCCAAACCCAAAGCCAGTTTTTCCAATTGCACTTACCGAATAATTCTTTCTCAACTGATGTAAAGACTTTATTATATATCAAATGTTCATGTATATAGATACAAGTGTGCTGTACACGTACATGTATGTGTATGGATACATGGTATTATGGCTGGCGCGCACACACACACACACACACACACACACACACACACACACACGGCTGTTTTGGACTCAGCTCTCACCACTGCTCTGTCTAGCCCGGGTGACACAATGGAGCTGGGACAAAAGGAATCACTCACCTGTCCCTCTTCGTCAAAGGCCATGACGACCACGGCGGCGCCGAACTTCTTGACCAGCCCGGCCTTCTCCAGGAAGTCGGCCTCCCCTGCCTTCAGGCTGATGCTGTTGACGATGCATTTACCCTGGCAGCACTTCAGTCCGGCCTCGATCACAGCAAAGTTGGAAGAGTCAATGCACAGGGGCACCTGAGGTGGCAGGGCAGGAAATCACAGAAAGATAAGTCGCCACAAATTCCCTTCCAGGACTCCCACAGTCCCCCTTCCTTCCTTGGGGAAACAATAAACAAAGGACAGTGTGACAAGAGACAGGACTTTCCTGCACCTGTTCTTAACGCCCAAAATACTCTAAGTAGTTCCAGTCTTACATGCAGACCCCACATGCCTTGGACTGGAGCTAGCCAGATGTGGACTTCAACATGGAGCAGAAACCATGGGCAAGACTGGACTTCTTCCACAGCGAGATGGAGGGGGGTGGGATCTCGGAGGGGAACCTCCTTAATTTTACACCATCAATAAAGCTTTCCACAAAATCCCATCCTCCAAGGGGCCTCAGGAAATTCTTTCCCAGCGGCACCCCAAGAACTCCACTTTGATCTGTAACAGGTGGGCACTCAGAGGGCACCCCACTGATAACAGAAGGGCAAAACCAGAAAAGATTAAGAAAAAAATTACTGTAGCCATCAGAACACTAAGTCATTCATAATGCCTTAAGTTACATGGGGTCCTTCACAGTTAACAAGGCACTTTTATCTTCACAATTCACAAGTCAGACTGTGGACACAAAGGGACCACACACTAAACCTGACAAGCCACACACTAATGACAAGCCCAGGGGAGGCCTGCATGGCAGCCTTACAAACTCAGAGACCAAAAGTAACCACAAAGGATGGTCTGAAGGTAGAACTTTTTAACTAAAAGCAGTTTGTGGTAGTAGTCATGTCCTAGGCTAGAATCTTCCCTGACCAAGGTCAATTTTCACCCTAATAGAGCCTTTTGTCTTTGGAATGTCAAAAGAATTTCCTTTTTCTGGACCCCTCAAAGCACAGGTATCACACCAGAGCGGAGACTACAAATCCCCTATTGTTATTGTTATCAATAGGAAAGGAATGAATGATTCTGTAGGAAGGGTAAGTATATTCTTCAGAGACATGGAAAGCAGGTTTCCAGTTTATCCAGAAAGCGGGTTTCCAGTTTATCCAGACATCAGAGGACACAAACCATTCTTGTGACCAATTCCAAAAGCCTGGAAAACAGCCAAGCTGAAGTCACATCTCTTGGAAGCCTGGCTTTTATCATGAGCTAACACCGAGCAAGAAAACGGACCATCAGAAGCCTCAGGGTTTTTAACTGGGAAAACAGAAAACCAGTGTATGAGATAGATGACAGATCAACGGGGCAGATGACAAAGTTAAACGAGTGACAGAGCAAGACATGCACATGCCCTTGACGCAGAAAAATGGTGTCCAACCTTGGCAATGTCAGGCTCGGAAGCAATGAGTTTGCAAAACCGGGCCATTGCACTTGGACCATCCAGCATGCCGTCGTCCATGTTGATGTCCAACACCTGGGCTCCCATCTCCACCTGCGCTTTGGCAACACTCAGGCCTGCCTGAGGGAAGAATGCAGGAGGAAGCAGCATGAGGAAGGTGAGTGGAGAGAGGCTGACCAAGGAATCCCTCGCCATCCCCAGCAGGCCTCTGGAGTGACGCACGGCCCACTGGCCAGCCTCCCTGACTCTAGGCCTACTCTCCTCCCATCAGGCACCGGAGATTAACCTTAAACTCTCTCCCCTCGCCTCATTTCACTACCCAGAATCCACTGAGGCCACTTTCCTGCCATAAAGAATCTAAATTCAGCCTGGAGTGGGGGCCCTCTGTAACCTGAACTAATCTGACCACAAAATGGTCATAAAAAAACAAACAAACAAAAACATAAATAGAAACATTGCCAACTGAAGACCCTGCACAGCATGAAGGTCACGAGGACTCAGAAGGGAGCACCCTGAACAAGCCTCATGGGACACCCAGGAAGGGAAGGCAGTTGGGGCCGAAGCGGAGACGCTGAATGACAACCTGCAGAGTTTGGGTTTTATCCCGGATGCGAAAGGCCACCGGTGGAAGCTTCTGACCTGGGGAGGACGATGACAGAGGCCCACGTGGCCGTGAGCAGTAGTGCAAGGAAGGGAAGAGGGCTGACGGGAACTGTCAGGAACCAGGTTCCCAGGCCACGGAAAGAGGCCATGGAGGAGCAATCAATAGCTCCACAGAGGATGGTAAATGGGCCCTTTCTTCATGATTAAAACAAAGTCTACGTTGGTAGGGGTTTCTGGAAGATCTATTTCCTAAAAGTTGCAAAACCTCAAGTGAGAGAATTTTGATAAGTCATCATTAAAGCCCAGACTCCATTTTAAACTTCCTATTTTCGTAAGAAAAACACTCCATCCGGATGTTTCGGGTTGGTTCTGGTTGGATTACATTTTGCTCATCCACAGAGGGATCAGCTTAAAAGCACTCTGGCTAAAGGAGCATGTGACCGTCCCAAGGCAGGCCTGTTCTTTCTTTGTGTTTGCGTATGCATTTCAGTCTGCAGCTAATAGAAGCAATACCACCTTAAGCACTGCCTGATGTGCTCATGAGGACTTCACATTTTCTTGGCTTTCACTTCCCCACAAGGATTTGTGAGAAACAAAAATGAAGAGTATTCACAAAATTTTAAACTTACTTCCCAATTAATAGCAATAGCTAGAACTGGGTCCCTCCCAGCTCATCCCACTCATGGCCCAAGTGCAGTACTTTCTGACAAACAACAAGAGCAGCTTGGATTTTTCGAGGCTTCATCCTCCTACCAGCCCAGCCCACTGCAAACACGTCAGTTCTCACACTGCCAGAAGCTCAGCTAGTAACCGGTCAAACGCTATCAAAAGCCGTTTCGTTTACTTGCTGTCTAGCCACAAACACGGCAGATGCCTGCGTCGCACTGAGATGCTCACTTCATAGTCTCCTGCCATGATGAGCTTAGCGAAGTTGCGGGATCCGGCCACGTTACAGCGCTCTCCGATGTTAACGAAGTTGGTGTAGGGTCCAATCCTGAAGGGCTCTAGACCTTAAGAGGAGAAGCACTTTGAAAAATTTCTGAAAATACATACGGTGACATGAGACAGGCGGGACACAAATATCTTCATAAGAAAGTAAAAAGTCTCTGTGCCCATGGGATGAGACACGAGATGTGACATGGAAACAGGACCAGCACCTTCTCCAAGGAAAGTAAACTACATGTCGCAGCCACATTTACAACCAGACATTCAAGTAAGAAATACTTCAGGACTTCAAATTGCCGATTTCTCTAAAGAGCTGACTCATACCAGCTCCGACAAACAAGAAAAAAATACCATCATTTCCCTGTTTAATCAAGAGTCTGGGGCAAAAGCCATGATGTCAGAATCACAAGGACTGCTCCGCGCTGTCCACACAGACGGCAGCTCCACAGCTGGTCACGAGACAGCAGCTGGAAGCCGATCCACTGGCTTTCCCGTCTCTTCGATCCAAGTCCAAGAACCCGCACGCAGCCAGCAAGGCTGACCGGGGCGGGAAGAGCCCAGGCTGGGCCCTGTGAGACGGGAGGTTCTCCTGGGCAGGTTCACACTCAGGAGCTGACTGTGGGCACAGCCACTGGGTGCTTCTGCCCCTTTATTTGCCGAGGGGTAATGACATCTGCCCTGCTACAGGCCAACCAAGGGGCAAAACTGGATAATAAATACAGATATATTACACTGAGGGGACAGCAACACACGGTGTGGAGTATCACTACAACAAAGGTCTTTAACTGTTTTGCTCTAGTCATATTTACTGTTAGGGGCAAAACTGGATAATAAATATAGATATATTACACTGAGGGAAAAGCAATACACAGTGTGAAGTTATCACTACAATAAAGGTCTTTAACTGTTTTGCTCTAGTCATATTTACTGTGTCTCGCTAGGGGGGTACAGGCGGCTCTGAGGACAGCCAGCCCCGGGTTCAAGCCCTTCCCAGCCTCGCAGTGAACAACTCAGGTGACTTTTCACAGCCTCTGAGCTTATAAAACCAAGTCAGTACAAGTATCTGTCCCCTAACGTTACTGTAAAAATGAGACTAGATACAGTGGCAAACACAAAATCAGACCAACAATCATAGCTGTTGTGGTTAAAAAAATGGCTTTGAATCCTTTGCCAAAGCCCTGGCTGAAGAAGGGACAGATATGAAGGAGGAAAATCACAAATACGGATGAGTATTTGTTCACCAACTGGGACCATTTCATCCTAGTTCGGGCTTGTGAGTCTCTTTCCATTAATAATGACCTTTACAGCCTCGTCCCTACCCCTGCCAGCCCCAGGGTATCCCTGGTCCCAGGTGAAGCCCTGAGGCTACAGGGCAGGCAGCAGGGCACAGCTTTAACCGCTAAGGAGATCCCGTATCAGAGCCCTAGAAGCATCTCGCACAAAGCGCTTCTCATCTATTATGAATGTGAAGTGGCTGATTTTCAAACTGCATTCTTCACAAGTATGCAATTTATAAAGAACAACTGAAAAGAGCATGTTTGATGTCATTCTTTTAAAATCTAACTGAAGATTGTTTTTAAAGCAATTTAGAGATAGCACAAGAAATTCAAATCTGAAAAAATAGATTCTTTCATTCTTACACGTAAGTTCTTTTTAAAAATCGTATCTAAATGGGTTTCTTCTTGTTTCACCTTTGGTAACATTGAAACAAGAAGAGAACCATTTCTGAAATCATACAAACCATGTCTGGATTACTTACCGGACAATAACATATGCCCTTCAAACACTGTGGCAGGTGGAACTCGAGGCTTATAGTTTTTTACAGCTTCAGCAATTTCCCTGAGTTAAAAGAGAAAACACTATACCCATTAATTCAGGATAAAATAAAATTAAACTAATTTCCGGCTATGAAATTAAGTCTATTTAGCACAATTATGCACGTAATTACATACCTAGTTCCAAATGTGCAGCAGCAATTACACCTTTTCGTTTTCTCAGTCGAGCAGGAAATGAACCACTGAGCCTAGCTTTTGTGAGCCTGCCCAGGGTTTAAACCTGGCTGCTGTGTGTGGCTGAGTTGTGCACCTTAGTTACCCCTTTGAAGTCCCTATCTCCCAACACAGCCACAGGTGGAGGAGCGGGGATTTAGGCCCCGACACACGAATCTGAAGAGGACACAATTCATGCCATGCCAAAAGGGAAAACATTTAGAGGTGATTATTACCTGATGTGATCTGGTGTCGTACCACAGCATCCACCAACGATATTGATCAAGCCATCCATAGCAAAGCCCTGCATTCAGGAAAAGAAAGCTCTAGGGCAGCGTTTGCCAACCTTTCGGACCTCACGGACCACCGGTTGGCGACCACTACTCTAGGGAGTTCATCTGAATTCTAAACTCACCACTACGCACTCAGCAGAAAAAATCCTACATTTCCTGAAGAACCAACTTTACATTAAAAAGAGAGCTAAAAACACTTAACTCTAGATAAAAAGCTTTTAATGCCCCAGGTATTACATTAAAACAGTTCAGATACTACGAAATCCTTTATCCCATTTAAAATGTAATGTTTACTTGCTTATCTGATCATAATAAAGATTTTTTGCCCATATGCTACGCTGAATGAATATGAACTAGATAATGCATTTTCAAATAACACATAAAGTTATTACATTTAAATTAATTAAAAATTTTAAAGAACTAAAAATTCAGTTCCTCAGTCACAATAGCCACATTTCAAGTCCTCCAACAACCCCAGGTGGTAATGGCTGCATATAGGTCAGTGTGGGTCTGGGGTTTAACCACAGGCTAGTTTGCAGGACAAGAGAGGAAGTCAAGCAACTGAGAAGTCTGAACACTGACAAGAGCACCAACATAAGGTATTAAAATTATAAGAATTAAGTCAGAAATCGTTTAGGAGAGAATGTCAATGAGCCAGAAGCTACAGATTCAAGGAACAAGGAAGAGACCGGGGTTAGTAATAGGGTGGGTGGTGGGTAGTATGGGCTCATGACCTAGGTAGTGGGTAGTATAGGATTCCCAGACAGGAGGTATATGGGAGGGAAGGAGAATGGGGGGTAGTGGTGGTGACGATGGGCAGTAAGGAGCCACCCCCTGGGAGGGCTGTATGAGAGTCAAGTTCAAGTAGCTTCAGTTGGACCTCACTGGGAATTTCCCAACAGCCACCGGTACCATCAGGGGAGGAGGAGGCTGCCAGCCAGCCTCTCCCTCCACTGCCACCATCTTAAATAGGAATAACTAAGCTTTTATTCATTATAGCACATATACTGGAATTTATTTAGGGGAAAAAATATGCTTCTAAATATTCTAAATCTAAAATGTCATTTCCCTCTCTCTTAACAACCAAGTGAAAGAGGGGACTCCTGACCTTTAAGTGCACGGCCATCATGCTCGGCGTTTCTTCATAGTCACCAAAGGTGTTGGGAAGACCTGAGAAAGGGCATTGCAACCATTACTGGATTTGTAAAGGCTTTAGGACATTTTATATTTAAATTAAATGGAGCATTATAATTAAACACAGTAAAGACACTACACCAAAAACAAAAGTCACAGAGGAAGATAAACATCCACTATTTCTTTTCCATTTGAAAGAAAAGCATCACTACTCTGTGGGACAGAGCCTCCACTCCCTGCCGCCTTCCCAGAAAGGAAATTCATTCATTACCCAGCTGCTGGGGCTGAGGGTGGGGGAGTACTATGTCCTTGAAGCTAATGAGCACCAGACACGCAATTAAAAACACAAAACACAACCAGTCTCCTTTCAAATAACGTTTCCCAAGTAAGACGTTAGTAGGTGATTATCCAATGTCCTATTTTATCTCTTATCCCCTTCCAGTTTCTTGCTCCTGGTGAGAAATAAAACTTATTGTGGGTTAAAATGTATACATTTGGAGAAAAAAATGCTGGGAAATGCTTTTTAGTCCTAAGTAGCTAAGCAGTGCTCAGAAACATTCACCAGAGCCCTGGCTGGTTTGGCTCAGTGGATAGAGTGTCAGCCTGCAGACTGAAGGGTCCCGGGTTCAATTTTGGTCAAGGGCACATGCCTGGGTTGTGGGCTCAATCCCCAATAGGGGGCATACAGGGGGCAGCTAATCAATGATTCTCTCTCATCATTGATGTTTCTATCTCTCCCTCACCCTTCCTCTCTGAAATCAACAAAAACATATAAAAAAAAAAAAAAACATTCACCAGGAAATCTGGCTAACCCAAATGAATTACCATTATGTCATTGGGTAGTTTGAGAATTACCTACAAATCTCTCGGTAATTTTTACATACAGTAAACTAGAAGTCCTAACTTTCAGAAGGGAAAGCGGTAATAAGTTACAAGGCTCTCTGCCTGCTCTTTGTGAACTCTGCTCAGTGACGGGACCAGGCGTCATTCTTCCGAGTTCCGTCCATTTCTGCCGCTTTCAGGCTGAGCCAACCTGTGCGTTCAAGTCTAAAGAAAACAGTGGTCCAGGTCCAGATACTCTTTATTTAGAGAAATCCTACTGGGTGTTAGCTATATACCAAGCCTATAGAACAAACTCTTTCATCAAGATCTGTTACCCTACCATGCATGTCCATGTATTTGGGTTTCCCCCTGTGCAGCTCCCTTGAAATACACACCTGCATTGGGATAGCAGAGAACATAGGCTGTTGTACATTTGCCAATTGTTTCAATAAAAGGTCTCATTTCAGCTGCACCCAGAGCACAATTTAATCCAATGCTGTGAAGACAAAAAGAAGTTAACAGAAGCATCCTCTTCTATTCAAAACATTTATGCGTAGAAAAGTTATAATAAAGGAATAAAACTAAAACCAAGCAGGTAATAAATCCTTGATTCAAAGCACTTTTACGCAGCTGCAATCAATGCTATTTTTAATGCTTTTGTTCAGCAACTGAAATGGGGTGGGAGGGTTCAGAGCCAGTCACCCTAAGGTGTGCTTCTGTAGGATGTGGATTGTTTTCTTTTTGACCCACATACATGTCAGGACAAACATCTGTTTACTAAGTATCTGCTCTCGTCATCATCCCAAAATGAACATCTGAAGCCCCGGGCACCTTGGCTCACCCCCCACTCAGAGTGTCTTCTGTGCCCGTTTCCTTTCTGTCTCTGACTCTCATGTACGCGGGGTTCCCACACATCCCTACATATGTATTAAATCTGGTCATTTTCCTTGCTAACCTGTCTCATGTCTGTTTGATTATTAGACCAGCCAGAACCTTGAGGGTAGAGAGCAACATCAGCCTGGGCTGGTAAGAGAAGGCAGGTTCCCTGAAGAGGACTCTCAAGATGAGTCTTAAAGGCTAACAAGAAGCCAGGAGAGAGGGAGAGAGGGAGAGAGCGGGTGGGGAGAGAAAGAGAAAGAGACACACACAGAGACAGACAAAGAGACAGAAACAGAGAGAATGAAAGAGAAAGGGTGAGCACAGCTTCTGGACAGAAGAAATAAATAGCACGTTTATGGAAAAGGTAATGTTAAAATAGAATGAAAACAGAATGTTAATTTTAAAGATAAAAATCTGAGCTTTAAAATCCCCATCTTATTCCAAGCTAGACTGCTTCTGTTGTTCTGTAAATGGGGAATAACCAACCAACAGGCACAATCTGACACTATAAGGGAAGACCCCCCGAAAGGGACGGAGGCGGGAAAGAACGATGACTCACCAGAGTGGGTCTGCGTGCGACACACTGATGACAAACGCCTCCCCTGTCTGTCCAGAAAGTGTCCGCCCACTTTTATCGACAATTGTTCCTGAAATCTGAATTAACAAAGCAAATTCAGTCAACAGTACAGACTCACATGAAGAGTTCAGTCACAAGGCCAGAATAAGAGGAGCAAGCTGACTTCCTGTGCTCCTTTACAGGGAAGAGAACTGTGGGACTCAAAGGCAGCACTTTCTAAAATGGTCAGGACAGGGAGATGCCGAGTGAGGGGGGAGCTGGTGAGCCATGGGAGCAAGGAAAAGGCAGGCAAAAGCCATGACGAGAGCAGCGTCAGAATTCACACATCCAGTCTCCCTAGAGAAGGCTTTCCCATGAGCCTCCTGTGTGACACAGCCCTAGTTTTGATTCTATTTATTCTCTTCAAGGAACCTTGGGACTCTGGGGTGGGTCTGCCTATCCTTCCTATATAATTAAAGGGTAATATGCAAATCGACCGAACAGCTGAACAACCGGTCGCTATGATGCACACTGACCACGAGGAGGCAGATGCGCAATGCAGGAGCTGCCCCCTGGTGGTCAGTGTGCTCCCACAGGGGAGGGCCACTCAGCCAGAAGCCCTGCTCCAGACTCACAGCTGGCGAGCACAGTGGCAATGGCGGCAGCCTCTCCTGCCTCTGCGGCAGTGCTAAGGATGTCCCACTGCTGGGGAGCAGGCCTAAGCCGTCAGTCGGACATCCCCCGAGGGCTCCCGGACTGTGAGAGGGTGCAGGCCGGGCTGAGGGAGCTCCCCCCACCCCAGAGTACAAATTTCGTACATTGGGCCTCCCTCTAGTTGATTAATAAATTGGCAATCTGCTGTCTTCAGTGCGGGGAACTTCACAGCCAGCATGCAAGGCCACCCCTCAGGGTCCTAAGGAGAGTGCCTCCCTAAGCCTCTGGCTTCAGGAGACAATTCAGCCAGACCACTTTGCCTCCATCAACCACTTCTAGAATCATGTTCTTTGTCTCAAGGTGGTGGGAGGAGGGAGGTGAACAGAAAACTTAAAAGTAAGTGGTTCCTAAAAGATACTATCAGTAGTTCCATGCAAGAAAAAAACAAAAAAAAAAACCCCTACCCTCAAATGACAATATTAATAAAAAAACAAAAATCAACACTTTAGACTTACAAAGATGGGCCGGGGAGCATAGGTCTCTTCAAAAAGGTTCTGGAGTGCAAACAAGGCTGCCTGTCAGGGAAAGAGAGTATCAGTGGGTCCCAAGGTGGCTGCAGAGGAGGCGGGAGCGCCACTCACCTGCTCCCAGCCCCAGGCGGGATTTACAGCTCAATTACAGAGCAATCAACCTGAATAACCCACTGAAGGGAGCTGAACTGAAACATGGTAACAAAGGATTTACAGAGGAAGCCACAGAGACTGGGAGAAAGGGCCAGCATCCACTCCCAGGAGCAGTGGCAGCTGGGAAGCTGGAGGGATCCCCAACCCAGAGCAAGAGATGGGGTGAGGAGCCCACAGAGCATCTGGTAGTGAAATCAGTGGGGATTCATCTACCTGGGAGACCCAGACGCCACCTTCCCAGGGACGAGCACTCCTGTTGCTACAGCACTGGAGTGGGGCGGGCACTATCTGGTACCCGACTGCTGGCGAGGCCCCTCTGCATTACTCCTGCAGAGGGGGGTCTGCTGGCTGCACCCACAAGTGCACCTCTTTTTCTGGCGAGGCTTTTGACAGTTGCCAGATAGGAAGAGTGTTTGGGAATGGGTGAAAAAGGTGAAGGATTAAGTACAAATTGTTAGTTACATAAAAGTCTTTTTTTAAAAAAATTCTGAATCTATGGTCTTATTTCCAAAACATTTAAACAATTAAATATTTGATGAAATGTAAAGTAGTAGGGATAAAAAGAGACCTTTTCTTAATCCTTACCTTGGAATGGGGAGTGCCCTTGCAAATATAATTCCCTCCCCACCAAAACAGAACACACACATACACACACACACACACACACACACACACACACACACCCAGAATCTGTAAATCCAACCACACAAAATTAAAATTCTCTTATACCATTAAAAAGCTAAATCAGCCCTAGCTGGTTTTGCTCAGTGGATAGAGCGTCACCCTGTGGACTGAAGGGTCCCAGGTTCGATTCAGGTCAAGGGCACATGCCAGGTTGCAGGCTCCATCCCCAGTAGGGGGCGTGCAGGAGGCAGCCTATCAATGATTCTCTCTCATCATTGATGTTTCTATCTTTCTCTCTCTCTCTAGCTTCCTCTCTGAAATCAATAAAGATATTTAAAAAAAAACTAATTAAAAAAAAACAAAACACAACTATATGACCATCACCACCACATAGAAAGTCAAACACCAAACTGGAGACAATATTAGCTACTCAGCACTGTCAACGTTGATTTCCTTAGGGAAAGACAATAAAAAAGACCAAAAGTCCAACAGAAATAAGGCACAGAACACACATCACAGGACAGAAAATCTAAATGGTTGTAAAACTTTAAAAAGATGCTCTATTTCATTTCTAGTCAGAAAGATACAAAATGAAAACTATAGCAGGGAAGCGTTTTTTTACCCATCAAATTGGAGGAGATCCCCAAGTGTAACAATAGATGGTGTTAGCCAGGGCGTGAGAAACCTGCGCTGCTCTATGACTGGGTTTAAAAGAGCACATCTCTAGGAGGCTAACTTGACATAAAGATTAAAACTAACAATGCACAATCCTGATGGTCGCCAGATGGAAGGGAGTGGTGGGGATGAGTAAGAAAGGTGAAGGGGTTAAGAAGCACAACTTGGCAGTTAGAAAATAGTAACCAGGATGTCAGTGCCGTCCAGGGAACACAGTCAGTAATATTTTAATAACTGTGTACGGTGCCAGGTGGGGCACTAGACTTATTGAGGGGATCACTTTGTAAGTTACATAAGTATCTACTCACTATATTGTACAGCTGAAACTGATATTATAACATATGCCAACTGTAATTGAAAAATTAGATAAGCAAACAAATAAATAAGAAACACAGGCATAAGGACTTTTACTTTTCACTCCATATACCTGTGTACCTTTGCACACATGTAAGGAATACAAACGCATACCCCCATGCTGATACCTGTCAGGACTCCACACTGGTGACAAGTAATTGTCCCCAGGAAATAGGAGGTAGAAGGGTATTATTTTTTACTACATACATTTATGAGTCTTTTGAATTTAGAACCATGTATATGTACTTATTACCTATGCATAAATGCACATAGAGTAGCTATACATGAAAATATTTACTTTCATAATTTAAAATAAATTTACAAAAAAAGTTTAAAAGATAACCTATTGAAGTTTTTTCATTCTACTGGCCTCAGAAATAGTCAAGAATAAAATAAAACAAAGGAATTTCATTTAACTTTAAAAATAGCTATCATTGCCCTAGCTGGGTTGCTTAGTGGATAGTGTCGGCCTGCAGATTGAAGGGTCCCAGGTTCGATTCCGGTCAAGGGCACATGCTTGGGTTGCAGGCTCGATCCCCAGTAGGGGATATGCAGGAGGCAGTGGATCAATGATTCTCTCTCATTGATTCAATGATTCCTCATTGATGTTTCTATCTCTCTCTCCCTCTAGCTTCCTCTCTGAAATCAATAAAAATTTTTTTTTAAAAAAATAGCTATCATTGTCTTCTCACTACATTAGGGATTCATCACAGCCCTTCCCCCCCTCCCCCAACCCTGTCCCCTTTCCTCCCTTAACTCACCTTGGCATTGGCAGTATCAAAAATAGTTTCAACGAGTAAGATATCGACCCCACCGTCTAGGAGCCCTTGGGCCTGCTCTTTGTATGCCTCAACGAGCTCATCAAAAGCTGCAAAAAATAAACCACACCCAGGACATCCGTCAATATCCCCTGAATGGCCCGGACATGCCGAGTTCGGGCCCAGCACCTGTGAACTAAATACTGCTGGTTTGTGACGCATCGTTTAAGGACAGTGCCACCTTTTGTAAGAAACCAAATGCAGAAATACGGTGGTGATGGAAGTTAAACCAGGAAACTGAACACAGTTGCTCCTCAACACCTGCGCGAGGTCTGCACGTCCCACCACGTGTGAGCCGAGAAAGAGCGAGCGCGCAGGAAGCCAGGATTTCCTGAGCCCTGGACCTACTGTACTTTAGAGAGCTCTAGGGCAGGTCATTCTTTCCAGGGATGGCTTTGATCAATTCACAGGGATGAGTGTGAGGAGTCGCACAGAAACGTGGCACCCAGGGCGAGTCACAGCCTCTCACTCTCTGCGGGAGAATCAAAGGCTGCAGTTCTGTGGATTCGGCTCCTGCCCTCTGACACCAACTCTGTCAGAGAAAACGCCTGCCTGACGGGCAATTTCCATCTCAAACAAAAGTGTCCAATCACGTGTAGGTAACAGTTTTGTGAGAAACACCATGAGCTCTCTATTTCCATCTGAGAGGCCATCCCTCTCCCCATTTCACTGCCCAATCAGGAGAGAAGATGCTCAGCCACTCGGCAGAGAGGCCTGAACAGCGAGTTACGCTGCTGTCCGTGTCCTTCACCTTCCACGGCACGAGAGGAAGGAAGAGAGAGCTCCTCACTGCCATGCCGAGACCGAGCACATCAGAGGGAGCCACCCTGGTGACCACGTGTGGAAGCACGGCATGGCAAGTCCTGTGACCACAACCCTACAAGCTACACTTGCCTGAACTTGTCATCTACACATAACCCATCACCATTCATAGTATCATGACTATTCAGCTCTGAAAGTTCAATTGTTTGTTTTTAGCAGTCTCATGCTTAAGAAATTCACCTAGATTTCTAAGATGTTTTTGTAAAATCTCAATGCAAGTATGCTTATATATGTGATAGTTTATCGTTTTACAATGCTAATATGCTTATACAGTTTGGATTGCTTTGTGATAAATAAAATGGAGGTCTAGTGGGTTATTCTCTCATTGACCAAGGCCGGGTGTCCATAATTTCTCAACTTGTCATTTTAAAGCTTTAGTTTGATTGGTCTTATTTCCATAGCTGATAAAGAATACACCAGGTACATTCGAAAACAAGTTAAAAAAAAAAAACCCACACAACAAAACACACACAGAACCACTAACTTTCTTTTGAGACGTATACTATATCCCAGGGAGTGCTGTAAGCCCTTCGTGTGGATTAAATCTCAATAACCCTGAAATAGAGGTACTACTGGTCCCATTTTACCAAAACACAGCAGTACCTGCTCGAGAGCAATGATTGTATGTGACGAATACTCACTGATGTTCCTGAAATCTGGTCTTTCCACAGATGGGGACACAGAGAGTGTCTTGTTAGTTGGACCCAGCGCTCCTGCCACAAACCTCTTAATTCCTTTGGGAAAGAAAAACAAGTGTGAAATCTCTGAATTGCTCCAGGTTTTTGTTGTGAATCAATAAGGTTTAAGATTTCCCTAGGATACTGGGCTATAATCCTTTGTCCAATACTCTGAAATCCAAAAAGCACAAAAGCTCAAACTTTTCTCTTAATTCATTGGACAGCAAAACTCGCCCTCTCCTGAATGATCAAGAGGCTTATTGATAATCTTCCTCCCACTCAGAGGGATGGTTCATAGATTTTACTGCACAATTTGGTGATGGGCTGTCGTGGATCCTAGTGGAAAAATGATGAAATACAGGGCGGCTACACCCATGATCACCAGGCCAATCCAAAAACCTCTGAATTCTCACGTGCCTGGCTTCAAAGTGTTTCGGTAAGTAATCCTTTTCTCTCACCGCATTACAGCTGAAACTATCCAAGGAACCATCTTTGTGGAAAAGGGGACACTTTCGCTCCTCACCTGTCTGGAGAGTGACCTCCTCGGCCGCTTTCCTGGCCACGGCCGCAGAGCACGTGTTCATCCGGTAGACCTAGCACAGAACTGCAAACGTTAGCCCGTCCTCCTTTTTCTCCACGTGCTGAACAAGGAACTCAAGACCTTCTAAAACCCAGTGTCACTCAGTAAGGAAATGGAGAGTGAATTAGTTTGAGGTCTGAATGAAATCCTGGCCAAGAAGGCCCATGAGTGACCCCAGCCTGGAAGGCACAGGAAAGGCCAGAATCTTTGGAAACTGCTTTTGGTTCCTCCCCAAAACCATGAGTGAGGCGGCAAAAGGACAACCTCGGGACCTCTGGCATGGCAGAGAATAAGCTGATGTCGCTCAACAGGTTTTGAGATTTAGAAAAAAGAATAGCGTGGAGAGCGGCTACAGCGTTCGGACAGGATCAAGCCTCAGGCTGACTTATGGCAAAGCCACATACAAGTCCCAGCTTGGAAGGCAAAGCCCTCCCAGCATAATTATAGCCAAAAGGTTATGGTTGTATGTAAGCTTGACTTTATAGTCCGACCCTGCAGTCCTAGGTAGCTAAGGAATGTGGGCTGCGGGGGGGGTGGGGGGGTGCAGCAAGTGCTGCCTAAACAAAGCTTGACAGAGTTGGGAGAATGGCAACAACAGGAAAGAAGCAGACTTGAAACTTGCAAGAACATTGTAAACATCTTGCCCTTGTTTTGCTTTGTGTAATCTGACTATAAATAAAGCTTCTGCTTACAGGCGTGTCACTGTTTCCTCATCCAGGCACAGTGATCCACCTGGTCCCAACCGTATTCTCTTGTCTATTTTCTCTAATCCTTCACCGCCCCTCCTCAGGTTCACCCCTGGCCATGCTGGATGAGGTTCAAATACTAATGGGAAAGGCACAGGCTTTAGACCAGCAGTTCTCAACCTGTGGGTCGCAACCCCTTTGGAGGTCGAATGACCTTTTCATAGGGGTCGCCTAAGACCATCGGAAGACACATATATAATTACATATTGTTTTTGTGATTAATCACTATGCCTTAAATATGTTCAATTTGTAACAATGAAAATACATCCTGCATATCAGATATTTACATTATAATTCATAACAGTAGCAAAATCACAGTTATGAAGTTGCAACGAAAATAATTTCATGGTTGGGGGTCACCACAACCTGAGGAACTGTATTGAAGGGTCGCGGCATTAGGAAGGTTGAGAACCACTGCTTTAGACACAGGAGGCCTGGCTTCCAGGCCCAGCTCGTCACTGTCAGCCCGGGCAGTTCCCTTAGAACCTCTTCAGGCCCTGATTTCCTTCACCGAACAATGGTTGTGAATGATGGTTCTGAACTTTTTGTAGATTATTAACCTCTTGATATTTGGTAAAGGTCCATGAACCCTCTCACTAGGAAATAAAAGCAAGTATGCACAAAGCACTACCTACAATTTAAAGAGAGACAAGGTTGCCCTAGCTGGTCTGGCCCAGTGGATAGAGCATCGGCCAGCCACTAAACTTATACTTAAAAATGGTTGGGATGCTAAAAATTACATTACATGTATTTTGCCACAATTTAAAAAAAAAAAGGAAATCAAATCTACCACCCAATACTTAAAAACAGTGGTCTCACAAGCCCTGACCGGTGTGCTCAGTGGTTAGAGCACTGTCCCATGCACCAAAAGGAGTGCGGGTTTGATTTCCGGTCAGGGAACATACCCAGGTTGCGGGTTCAGGTTCAATCCCACCCAAGTTGGGGCACATATGGGAGGCAATTGACAGATGTTTCCCTCTCACATCGATGTTTCTCTCTCTCTCTTGCTCTCTCCCCCTTTCCCTCTCTCTAAAAAAAAAATCAATAAACATATCCTCAGGTGAAGTTTTAAAAAAAGGCCTCACAAAATAGTGCACACAACCAATCATTATGCCTTTATCGATAGTCACTGCATAATAAGCATCATTTTTATTTGATTATTACTTGCCCATAAAAGAAGCCAGATGGAAAATGAACGGGCTGCTATGTTCATAAGCGGACGAGAGTCTAACCATTTCCGTCTGAGCACAAACTACAGGTAAGTAGGCATTCGCTTCAGGTGGTTGTCTCACTAGCAACAAGCAATGTGATAAACGCTCACAAACATCTTAGTTATGAAGGAAAATGGGCGTCTTACCAAGTGCTCCAGGCCATAGTCAGCTTGGGCAACGTTAGTGCTGCTAAAAGTGTTTGTTTCAATGATATCAGCCCCAGCCAGCAGGTAATCCTGCAATGAGACAGGAATGTCAGCGCTGAGTTTTAGAATCCCTGTCCCCCAACAACAAACATGCCTCTTCAACACCATCCCCCCCAAACAGCCTCTGACCAGTTACTAAGCATACGGCACTGCACTGGAGGCGGGAGACACAGATGTAAGACTTGCATAGACAGGTGGGTGGTGTAAATAAACACAAAACTTGGCCCTAGCCGGCGTTGCTCAGTGGATAGAGCCGTGGTCGGCAAACTGCGACTCGCAAGCCACATGCGGCTCTTTGGCCCCTTGAGTGTGGCTCTT